TTTTTTTTAAAAAAAAAAAAAAAAAGGGAGGGAGTGGGGCAGGTTTTTCCACAGAAGTTATTTTAGATGTGAAGTATCTGTGCAAATTATTTAAATCCAGGCTGCCTTTAAATACTCTTATCTGTATTTTAATCCTATAAACTAATGATTTTAACATCATTGTCCCTTTCAGAAAATTGTACAAAATTCTGGACATTATTCCAAAGCCTCAGGTCACAATCAGGATAGCACCTGAAATAATCAAAATCTGTTTCTCAGTGATTCGGTACAACCTACAGGTGACAGGTTAGGAAGGGTTGAAAACTGCATTACAATTTAAAGCAAAGAAAATCTAAATCCACACATTTCCGCACATTTTCCTCCAAAAGGTTAAGTGTTCCATCAACTTTACACACAGAAGTATACGTTTGTCATACATTCACTTGTTACACTACATTTATTATAAAAAGTAATGATGTGTTTTGTTTTTGTGCAAGTTATTCTTTAAAAATTAAGTATTTTAACATCTGTCTGGATGAAAGATTTTTTGCACATTTATAAAACATGTTAGAGCCAAGACGTTTCGTGTAAAAGTGCAGAAAAGAACAAGAGGTGCACACTAATGTCCAAACTAAATTAAGAATACTACACACCATCTAAATTATTTAAATCCATACCTGTCACTCCTGCATTTCAGAGCCCTGCTTATCACTTCCTCAACCTAAAGGGTATTTACTGGAAGGGATCTCATGGTTTATCATGTGATTTACTTCACAAGTAGCTTCTTATTCTTTCCTTGGTTGCGTAAGCTCTTGCATCACAGCTAAGGAAATTATTATGTTAGCAATAGCTAAAAGGAGACATGACCTAAGGATGCAAGGTCTTCTCAGCATAGGGTAAATAGTCTGTTAATTGCACTTGTTTTTACTTAAAAATATTTAACTTGTTTAGGCTAAAGGCTCAATCTTGCCCCCATTAACATTAAGGGGAAAACTCCTCTGTATTTCAAGGGTTCAAGATTGGACCTAAAGCATCAAAAATTGTAATTTTACATTGCCAAAATATCTTCTAAAGGAAAAATACTAGGGATAACTATTCAGTGTGCTACATCCCATCATATGCTGTAGTCCAAGAATTTTATACTTCCAGGGTAATTACTTAGCACCTTTGAAAATCAGAACAACAATGATTTTTGGCATTTTCTTTACATTTCTGTAAATGCAGGGAGAACCACTATTCGAAGTTGCTTTCTTTCCCATGCCCTATGCAGCAAATGGTACCTCACGCTGACTTTTGTTCATTTAGTGATATGTTGTTCCAGTCTGTTCCAAACCATACAACTACCTTCGTTTGGACTTATAAAGGCAGTTTTAATAAGATAAACATAAATGTTAAACAATTCACATTAAGCCACCATCTGGCCCCCAATGAAAATTTTCATGTTTTAGATTTACATATCAGCATTTGCCATCTGGGTAGTCTGTTACACATTTAATGTGAAACTCTGACTGCATTGTAAAGTTTGACGATTAACTCTTATTGTTCTTAAGCAAACATATTTGCAGAGGGTAAACAAAGGGGAGAGACCCTATATTCATATTCATGTTATTTTCATGGATTTATTTACACAGAGTGGATTTTCAAATTCTGGTGGTTTTTAAAAACTTTTTAAATCACTTATTTTGGCTTTTTTTCTTTTTTCTTTTTTTTTTGAGAAGACATTTACAGGTAGAGAAAGGCGCATCCGATGACACAAGTGCCACTGAGGAAAACAATTTAATATCTGAAACAGGATTTTCAAACAAACGGTTATACAATTAGTAACCAATCTCTTATGATAGAGCACATTGACCTTTATTTTTAAAACTGTTCTGAGTGATGAAGAACTCTATTTGAACTAAAAATGGAGAATGTAAATGGAAAGTTAACGGAAACTGATTATCAAAGAATTATGGCATGTAATTTAAAGGAGAGAAAATTTCATACCCACAAATAAATAAAATGCAAAGCCATAGATGAAGGCTGGGACAACAGGTTATGGAACATACAGAGAGAGGTGGTGCTAAGCTGGAAAACGAGACCACAAGGACAGGGAAATACAGCACTACCACTGCTTATTAACAGGGAGGATGTCAGAAAAACATCCCATGAATCATTAGCTGTTTCTCACTAAGTGACTGGAACAGACAGGGAATATCTAGAGCCATGCTTTTTTTCAGGGAGAGGGGAAGGAAGAGAGCAGTCTCCAGGCCAGTATTGGTTCTTCAACATTAAACAGGCAGAGGTGCAGTGCAGAGGAGCCAACTGAAGAAGGAGAAGCAGCTGGAAGTTTTCTGCACAACTGGTAAAGGAAAGGAGCGAGCTGCGGTTGAGCTCAATAGCTGTCATGGTTGATCTTGTTTTGGAGGTACAGAATCAGTGTTGTCAGCTTACATGATTTTATCATGAGCCTCATTATATTTAGTGTTTTAGGTTTTGTTTGGTTTTTAAGGCCCAGATTCTGAAATTCAATAAAAGCTGAGATTTCATTTAATTATTTCTAAAAGATAATCTTTGAAACCTCAGGGCCACAGAAGAAAGCTTGAAAATATGATCCCAACAAACCCCAAAGCCTCAAAAGGCAAATACAATAAGCCCGATATTTATTACTACTTAAAATATATGGGGTTGGGACTCCTGACTCACGATGTTTAAATAGTTGGGGGTGGCAATATCAGGGTGGTAATGAACAAAAATGCTAAATTCCCTGGGAAGTGGGAAGAATTCTTCTGGACAAAATTATTTGATAGAGGGGCACAATTAACTGGGGAAAATAATTAATGAATTAATGAAATTAATGAAAAGACAGGTAGCAAAAGCAGGTTACTGTGGAAGAATAAAGATTAATAGTTATATATAGAAGCCCAGATTGGACAGTGAAGAAAGTTGCCATCCATACCATGTGAGTAGAGCAAGCTCTGATTTGTAAATGGTGGTGAGCCCAAAGCCCTAACCCAGTCCTCTCATGACGGAGCTGTCTGCTGAACCACATTTTGTTTTACCACATCAAGCAAAGTGAGCATATATCATAACTGGGTTGGCACACTGAGGGTTCCTCCTTCTGATTTTTTCCTTGAAGCTGAATCCACAACTTGTTCATTACCAGCATTGACTCCTTGTTTCTTATCTATTTCTTCTTGCCACAGCAGTGCCTGTCTCTGCCTCCACCTTCCCTCAAAATGTAATTTAAGTATAGGGGTTTCAATAATACACGAGGAGGGGTCCCATGGTCCTTAAATGAGCCCCAGAGTTAAATAAAATGTTTCGTGTTAGGTGTTTTAAGTTCCACTCTGTTCAGGTGGATGCTTCAGCAGTACATATTGACCACAGATCCCAGTACATTCCTCAGCCTTAATCTAGACCTTGGGGTGCCCTCGGGACCTTTCAAGGGTGCCATAAGGTGGCATACTGTTCCTACTGTTAGCAATCATGCAAACATGTTTCACAAGATAAACCCAAAGATTCTGGACTGCTATGGTCTTTTCTGAGTTCTTTGCAACAGAAGAATTGCTCTCATTTTTCTGTAGTCAAAAAAGGAGTGAAAACTAAGAGAAGGTATTTTCTGAGGGATGCTTTAGACTCAAAGCACCCATCAATAGTCTTTCAAGGGGTGCTTGAAGTCTAGAAAGGTTGAGAATCACTGATATAGACATCTGCACCAAACAATTCCTAAAATGGAGGTCTCCATGTATGTGCCACATCCAGCTGAATACTGGGACAAAAAAAAAATTCCACAGCCAATTTACAATGTGTCTAAATATGTGCTCTAGCTTGCACTTGGTAAGGTAGATATAGTGCAGTGGATTGAGTCTAATCATCACAGACATTCCTAGTACTCCATAGCTACTACCGCAGGCATTTGAACAAAAAAGGTCTTCCTAATTCCTTGGCCAAAAAACATAGGCTTATACTGTTTGCCGAGGTATAAATACCACATTCCACAGAACGTAGCTCTTGTTATACCCCCGTGGGCTCTCTTATAAATGCACAGTTTCCACTATGTTCTATTATAAATAAACATGTTACCTGGATAACTATTTGTCTGGATTAGACTGAATTCTTATCTTGGGGCTATTCTAAGAATGCAGGGGAGAGAGAAAGAGATACCAATTGGCTGGTGAAATTAGTTTGACTCTGAATTAAATATTCCACTCAAATCCTCGATCAGTATTGCCATTCTAAAACCATCAGACTTTGAAAAGTTGATGTATTTTATCTGAAACTAATATTCTGGGACAAGTCAAGTTATGACTAATCACAACACACATCCTTCTCATCCAATTCAACAGTCAAAAAAAAGTCAAAGGCCTAGCTCAAGCCCACATGGCCCTCCAACCTGGTATGGCTAAGGCTAGCATCACATCTGACAACTTCAGAATTTCCAGCCCAAATGGCCAGGTACCCATTTACAGCTGTGTCAGCTAGGGCAGCCTTTAGCAAAAGTACAAAGCAAGGCATGAACCTACAGTTCTGGACACTAACTGCTCTGTAAATCAGACACTAGTTTGGAGGTGTCAGTCATACCCTGGAATAGGGAGAAATCTAGAGCTGCTATATCTGTAAGACAACACAAGAACTAGTGACAAGACATATTTCACGTGCACCTCAGAAAGGAGGAAGGTCAGATTTGGAACTTCCCATGGGCAGTTGCTCCCACAGTGGGCAGCAGGCACCAGGCTTGGAGGCATTGTAATACCAGGCCAAGGCATGAAGCAGCTGGAGCAAGTTCTGAGGCCCTCTCCCAGCACCATTTTTTTTTTTAAAGGTGGTAGAATCTCCATCCTTGGAAGTTTAAGGCAAGACTCAACAAAGCCCTGGTCGGAATGATCTAACTGGAGGTGGTTCTGCTTTGAGCAAGGGGGTGTTAAACTAGATGACCTCCTGGGGTCCCTTCCAACTCTAATCTCCTATGATTTACATAAAAAATTTAAAGATGTGTGGGAGACCATGACTACCATTCCAAGGTGACAGAACAAACTTGATACACTGTCCCAATTTCATTTGTGCTTTAGTAGTTTCAAACACCTAATGCCAATAGTAGTCAATAACGAGTGACATCACAAGAAGGCAGCAAGAAGGAATAAAAGGGATATAAAAAGCATTTCCATCTCTTTTGCTTGTTTACATTTTCACACAGCACTATGATGTGGTCATCCTCCTTTTTGTTTTCAGAATAGATATAGGTTCTCTACCTCAATGCCACTCTTTAAAAATGGCCTGCGTGCCACAAGCCAAATACACTGTCTCATTTTCACTTGCTAGGATATAACAGCAGGGGCAGCATTACTCTTCTCTATAGCTGTCAGCCTCAGAGTTACATATTTCTTTAAAAGTATATTTCTTCTCCAAGTACTGCATTTCCCAAGGATGACATCAGAACTGAACAAAGGTGGCACATGCAATTGATACATGCAAGAGATTTAGGCCATGTGCAAACATTGTCTCTACTAGGAGAGTTGCTTTTCTCCCAGTAGAAACCAGGAATGTACAGATGTTCAAGATTTCTTCCACACCAAAAATGGCTGCTCCAGGAAAAAAATAACCCCAGAACAACCAGAGCTAAATGACACCCAGGAGTTTCTCCCAAGAGACCCAACTTCTGTGCATACACCTTCTGAGAGAAGCTATAGCATAGTCCTCTAGTTTCACAGCATGCTTTTCTCCCTTCCACCCCCACCCCCCGATGAGTCCAAGAAAACAGTGCGTCACTCAGACTGGACTCTACTGCTCCAGCCAAGGAGGGAACCCCTTCACAATCTCCATATTGTGCTGCAGGGAGACTGGCTGACCTAGATTGCGTCACAGGCTATCAGAGCTGTCCTGTGTACGACTCATGTGTCACCAGGCAGGCTGGAGAGCTTATACAACATGCCAAGATGCGTGTACAGGGGTCCCCTGGCTACACAATTGCTTGGCATTTGAATATCTGTTTGAGATCTCTGTGTAAGTTTTTCTACTAGGAAAAAAAACCCCCAGGAGAATTCTCCTGGATCATTTGAACATGTGTACCATAGCCTTCAAAGGTTGTAGATCTTTTTTCTAAGTGATTGCTTATTATTTACCTGTGATTGTTCCAATCCAATACAAGTACATTTTGTTCAGTTCAGAGAATATGCATCTTAGAGCAGTTTTCAAATAGACTGTTTGAGGCCTAAAATAAGACTAAGAATGTCCATGAACACAGCCAAGTGACAATGTTATTGTTGTTCCCATTTCCGTACCCTGAAGAATGCTGACAGTCCCATGCAATTTCTTTTCCTTAAAAAGTAGCTGAGTTTTCAAAAGTTAGTTCCTAGTATTCGTGGCCAGAACTGTATCAGGAATGCTGTATATTAACCCAAAACATGGTTGCAATTATCTCGCAGCTTGTTGGGCCCTTAGATCACCTGACATCCCAGGTTACTTTCTGGACTACAAATATCCAAAGCAGTCTTGTGCATTTTCAGTCCTCTGGCCAGGAAGTAGGAATCATGGTTCCATTTTAAATATTGGTAATATTGCTTATACCGATTAATCTGAACTTCATTACACTGCAGCCTATTTGAACAGCATGCAAATATTATCCAGTAGCCCAAAAGTTTATTTCTGGTCTCAGTTAGTATATTAATACCATTTCCAAACTCACTATATAAACACAGACAGAGACCAGCCTTCCTTCAGTCAAATGTGTGAATGTGTATGTATATGTATAATTGTATGCATTAAATGAAATACATATGTACATATGTATTTCATATGTATATATTTCAGATTACAGTTTAAAATCTAAACTAAGTTCAGAATCCCTCTATCAGCTCAGTAGATAGATTTTTTATTTCTGTGCTATTTCTCTTTCACTGGCACTATTACAAAATGATTAAATCAACTGGCTTACAGAACAAATGTGACACAGTTACAATAAGTTATACAAGCTGCATGATGAAATTGGGAGACTCAGGCAAAAAAGCTTTGATCATTTCATTAAATAGTGGGTTGGGCCTTATGTTAGTTTTCACATGTTGATATCATAAGAATCTGCTCTGCTGCAACAGCAAATGAACTCAGCATATCTACTGTGGCTTGCTTTTGTAACTGCTCTCTAATCACCACCCACTGTACATGCCTAACTCCATTCTGACAGGTATTAATATAGCAGCCATCTCACCGGGAGACCTACTTTACTTTAGGAAACTTGGCATTATGTGTTTTTCAATCAAGCTAAATTCAATGCGAGTCTACGTCATATTCAGGTCAATACTGCTGACTGTATTTGCATAAATTTATCTTGGGTACATAAAAAGCAAGATTTAGAATTAAACAAATAATATAAAATCCAAACACAAGTCCAGCAGTTTCTAAAACACTGCTGCCATCTCAACCCTACAGTTACTAAGAAAAATCTGTTTGCATGTCAATCTCATTTTACATATGGAATCTACCTTACTTGGAAAATAGTTATTTGTTAAAATGAATTCCTTTAGCTATTTTAGTCAAGCACACATTGTGTGTGGACATTGCCACAGGCTACTGATCAGTTTATCTAGGGGCATAAAACTCCTTTTCACTTAACAATTGAAACAAAAAACCTTCAGAGTTTGTATCCTACATTTATTACATTAAAACACAACATAAATAGAACACTACGTTGGGACAGAATTAGGTAGGTAAGATTTCCACAGATGTGCATTACAACACTCTCTATACATCATGAGTAAAAATGAACAGTTCCCAACATCCCAGGAAACAGTATTTTTTCCTGATGGCTGTCGTATTGGTACTCCAAAATCTCAAGTTCCATTAAAAAGAAATTCTCTAACCCTCATCATAAAACAACCAACAAAACATGAAACCAATGTAACTGCTGCATGGTTGTTACTGTGCATGGTCAAACATCCTGAAACAAACAACACTAAGAGAAGTGAGAAGTGTTGCCAAATTGGGAGTGCCATATGAACTCTAAAGGGAGTACCACCCCTAATTTTTTATCTAGTCTTATCCCTGCTTTAGACACTGTTTCCCAATTCATCTATTTCCATAACCTCACAGCCATGTGTAGCATTTTGTAATACTTTTCATATGCTATCACTCATTGATACTTAAATTTGATGATACCCATATATAGTACATCTTCCTTTCAACAAGCAGCCTGGCTTTCTTTAGGTGCAATTCAGGGAAGAGTCAATATGCTACACATTTAGTTCATTGGCATAAGTGGAAACAGAGTAACAATTTAAAGAACAGAGCTACCTTTGGAAGTGAACAATGTTTCCTTACTCTGTAGCAATGTTCTTAGATTCAAATCCATTAAAGAATTCAAGATTTGGATAAAGTTTAGAAGTACCCCCTTGGACCTGGACTTTCCAGTGACTATCAGCAACTATGAATAAAATCAGATCAATACACCTTTCCTATTCCCAAGACCTAGACTGTTTCCAAATGTTTCATAAGAAGTCCATACTGGGAAAAAAAAGATATTTTAGGAAAGACTTTAAACCTATGTCACTTCAATGCAGAGTCTGTTAAACATTTACCTTTATTAAATAAATTGGATCTTTTATCTTGGCAGAAGCCAACTGAACATGTATATTCCACATATTTACTCAACAAATATGTTAAAGGTAATCTGCACTTTGTTAAGCTACAACCTTCGACACATGCTGCTTGAGTGCCCCAAACAAACAGTGTAAGAGGGCATTTCAGTATTTTTTAAATATTTTGAGTGCTGCAGAGTGTTATCTCCCACAACCAGCAGCTCTAGTTCGATAAGATGTTCCAGTGTGCTTTCTGCAAGGGAGAATGTTGAACATTGATAAAGAATACAGGTTGCCTATAGGATTAAAGCAGCCTGTTTTTAATTCCTCTTGTCCACTCCTCTCCAATACAGAATTATGTAGATGTATAAGTATTCAGTATTATGTTTTATTGTCTAGGACAGGAGTGGCATATCTTCTTTTGCTCTAGAGCAGTGGTTCTCAACCTTTCTGGATTCAAGCCACCCCTCATTAGAATCAAGACATGCCTTGGAAATAGCAGCTTTATCTTTTCACTCATTTTTTTGACTACAGAAAAATAATTAAGTATGCTTTTCTGTTGCAAAGAACTCAAAAAGACCCAAAATAGTCAGAATGCTTTTGGCACCATGAATTCCATTTGAAATCTCCAGGTTTATCTTGTGAATCATGTTTGCAGACCCATCAGTACTGATATTGTATGGAACCCCACAACACCATTGAAAGAATGTCAAAGCACTCCAGGATGCCACAGCACATAGTTAGTAATCAACCACTGCTCTAGGATGTAAGGAAATGGCATGTGCCAGTAGAATAAAGTTTATCCTCTCATCTTAGAACCCTAGCTCATTTTAGATATCTTTTCCCCTCCACACCTATGAGAACAACATCCTGTGGTTCAGGGGCATTAGATGGGAGCCCCCTCAGTAACCCCTCAGAAAAAGAGCTATTATTTCCCCGAGTGGGTCAAATTCGCTGACATGATAGTAATCACATTGAGGAAAGAATTTGGACTGGTGAATCAAGGCAGTATAAGAGAATTACCTTCAGATTCAATGCTCAAAGTTCTTATTTACTCAGCCTGTTCCCTTCCTTTCTCCCATTACTCTGTCCACCTCTTTCCTTCTCTATTGTTTAACAGAAAGATTGTACTTCAGACTTCTTACCTCCTGTACGTGATATTATACAACCAGAGTTTGAGGTGAACCTCAGGAAGACTCATACTGTACCATTACTGCAAGAACAATAGTGATAGGAAAGACAATGTAAAAAAAGCATACACTGGGGGTAGAGAGAGGCACAAAAAGAAGGGGAAGAAAAAGATTCTTGCTCTTCCCACTCCCTAAAGGGTGTGGTGTCACACCAACAGGACAATGCATGCTAGGCCATATCATTCAACAGTTCAAGGGCAGCAACGTGTTGATGTACAAAACAGAAAGCAAGCAAGCAGAAAGTAAGCACAGCCATACAGAATATCCATTGACATATTATACTTCGTTTTCTGAATGCTCCAAATTTTAGCAGCAGTCTGCTAAAAAAACTCCTATTTTGCACTGATTTTCCAGTGAGATACTATGGTAGATGGCATAAAGGTAACAGTTTCTCAGTTAAAGGCAGTAGTTGTTTGTTACAGGATTATTACACCTAGCACAGTGTCCAGTGAAAAAAGGGAAAGCAAGGACGATCCCAAGATCTAATCCTGACTCACTGGAGAACTCAGTTGGCTTCCTTGTACTTCAATAAACAGTTGGAAAGTTAAATTAAAAAAATCATACTAGCCAAACTTTTCTAAATAGCACAGGAAATTGACATAATAAAAGATGCAGATGTTCTTAAAAGTATATTTCCTTTTAAAGATTTTAAAGTAAACCTCCACTCAAAAAGTTAAATTGTAGGTGTGTTTATACTATCATCACATTTCATAAGGATTTTTCATGGCCCCAGCCATAACACAGACAATTTATTAAACATTTATTTTAGAGGATAATTTTAACTTGTACTCAAAAGTATTCTGTTTCTGATGTATGTAGAACAGAGATTTACAAATAATCGGAACCATCTTTAAGGATTTGTTACATATTTATCAACAAGCTAGTTGCTTAAATGTTCCACTTCTTTTTTTCAAAATCAGTAAAAGGAAAGTTGAGGGATGTTTAGGGACATCCAGAATGGCTAACAAGTGAGCAAGGATTCCCAAGAATAGACTGGAACTCTTAATGCATCAGATGGCATGGGGCCAGATCTTCACCTTTGCAAAACTCAGTAATCTAAAGTTTAATCCTAAACTGAACTGGAGATAATTATGAAGAATAAGAGAAAAGCTGTTGCTGTAGGAATACTCCTTTCTGTCAAAATGCTTGCTCTTGTATTAGTATGATGCATTTAAACATGCTGCGACTTTCTACAGTCAAGGTTTCCAGGACAAACATCAAAGGAAAAGTGGAAGACCCAGCTGTCAGAAGTTTTTAAGGCACAGAATTTCCTGATCAACACAAAGCAAACCAACCAACAACAACAAAAAACGAGGGGGGTTTTCAGAATTAAAAACAAAATCTAATTAGAATGTGGTAAAGAAGTTCTTAGAATGTGGCCTTAAGCATCCTAAAGATATTTTTTTTTTGAGTTTAAAGAAATACTATCATGATAATTCATAATATACATTTTAATATAATCAGGTGAACATATTTCTGCTTTAAATTGTATTTAGCTAGGTGACAACACCTGAAGTTGGAAATCTAGATCTCTATATAATCTCTAGTGCAGAGGTTCTCAAACTGTGGTCCGTGGACCACCACTGGTCCGCCAACTCCATCCAGGTGGTCCGCAGAAAGGTTGCAGAACAAATCAAGAATATCTGTACTTGTAAGGTAAGACTATATTAAAATATGAGTTGTATGCTTTGCTTTGTAGAACCAAAAAAAATTTAAAGTTGTCCGCTGAGACCCTCAGCAATTTTCAAGTGGGCCATGAAAAAAAAAAGTTTGAGAACCATTGCTGTAGTGCATAACCAGTCCTCTGTGAATTACTGTTGCATAAGAAATTCTGTGCAGACTACTGCATAAACAGTTATTTGCCTCAAAGATGTTACAAGTACCAATAATCCCCTGTAAATTCTTAATATTTAAGTTCTTTGAATCCAGGAATTTGGAAGATCTGAAGTCAGAGATGTCTGGCTCAAGCCCTTGCCTTTAAAGGATGTTGGCATCTCAAGCATGGACTTCATAATATAAGTTTAAGAAGTGTGTCCCACATACAATTTCAAAAAGTTCACAGAAGATCAAACCACTTTAAATGCAATATTTGCTGTAAGGCAATGTAAATCCACCTTTGCTATTGCCTCTGGGTCTGAGTTGACCTACATACCACACAGTGGGCACGTCCACACGCTCAATAATGTGCCATAATTGTAGCGCATTAAGTTTAAGTACCCGTAATTTCAGGTACTTAAACTTAACGCACCATAATCAGTGCTACTGTGCACTAGCACTGGCACACACTTTTTTTGTGATGCTAATACTGTGCATTAGCGCATTAACACAGGTTTTGCCTGCCACACTAATGCACAGTATTAATGTCTACTGCACTTGTAGCATCTCATGTAGATGTTCCCAGTACATGCCAGACTGGTCTGACATGCAAGACCCAAGATGCACATCACATACAATGCCCACTCCAGCTAGTTTAGCATCTGTACCTCATATGGCACCTATTCCAGCTGGTCCTAAAGTGGGTGCCACATTTTGCTGGATTGAGCATGTGTGGGAGATGGGTCTGTGGACCCAATCTGGCCTGTAGGTCAGCCCCATGCCACTCATCCAGCTCACTAGGCCAGAGAAATTTTAAACCCCTGCTGTAAGGAAATCAAATGCCCCATTATCCACCAAACACACTTATCAGTGACAAGGGAACAATGAAGAAAATGAAAGCACATGTAACAGCAGTGGACATGTTAGTTTACCTGCTTCATTACCATGGAGTGCATAGACTCAATGGTACCAACCTCCAACCTCTCTCTAAAGTTTCTGAAATCTACTTGCCCAAGTTCAAGTTTTCCAGAAGGCTGCCACCTACATAAACTAAGCCTCATCTGTCTATAGATGATGCACATATTTTGTCACCAGCAATACTACTAGCTAGCTCCAGGCAGAAGTTAGGACATTTGTTAATATCTAAGACAAAAAAGGGTAATATAATTGCATCTAATCTAAGACAGAATACCTGGTTTTATCACAGAATATCCAAGTACCTTGCCCAGTGGAGTAACACTCATTCTGGGAAACAATTCCAAAAGAAGGAGCAAGAAAGACTGAAGAACCAGAATAAAATATGGGATGTCAGTACCAGCTACAGGGCAAGCAGAAGTGCTCAATTAAGTTGAGGAACTTAATTATTTTCTGAACATAACACTTCAAATATGTCAATTCCAGTGGTAAAGTAACTGCTCCATTCCAAGTCAGCAGTAAGGATGAAAGCACCAACTTTAGCTGTAAGAATTAAAAAAAACTCCAACAGCAGCAGAAATTTTGTATCTTAAGCTTCTATGCATGAATAGCCTGCATAGGGTAAGTAGTCAGTAACTTCATTTACTCATACATAACAACTTTAACCAAGTTATGCAAAGGCTTACTTTAAAAGCATTATAATGAGATATTAATCTGAAATGCAGCAAAGGGGTAAGATTTCAATTAGAAAATTTGTTAAAGTATCTTATCAACAGATTTTGTTTGAGTGTTAATCAACTTGATGCATTTGCAAAGCATGTGTTGCAAGATGCTCTCAAATGTGGATTGTATCATACAATATATTGAATTGTTACTGCATGTTATTAACAGCTATAAAACTTTTAACCAGCAGGGATTTCTGGTGTGTTTCTTTTTAAAGTCTAACGTTAATAAAGAAATCACTTCCTTAGAAATAATTTTCAGTTTAAATATTGGAAATTTCAGATTAATATAATATCACGATAGCAAGTGATGCATAACGTCAACACAGATTTTTTTCCTTTCCTTTCCTTCTTGAAAAGCAATAAAACTAGAAAGTCTGTCTACAAGTCTTGGTGAATGATGCCAGTCTACAAAACAAGTAAAATGTGGTTTGGACATCCCAACTCTCAATATATCACAGCAGCATTTTTTAAAATGATACATTTTGGAGAAGGTTTAATTTCAGATTTCTGTAAGGAGACATTGATAAGGCAGTTACCATATTTGTACAGAAATATTTATAAAAACTCTTTAATATTTCATTTAAACTTTACTGTATTATCACATAACCACACTGCACCAAAATCAGAAGTCTAAATTGAGATAATTTAAACCTTCAGCCAGATGTACAGTTTGTAAATTATCCAAATCTACATAATCTCTATGTTTTACTCACTGTGTCAAGCTACTACACATGAATAAATTTGTCAGAAATAAAGCAAACAACACTTTATGGAGAAGTGGCTATACAATCTTGCCATAAATAAGCTATTTTAAAATTCTATATTATGAAAGACCCTTTGTTTAACACTCCCAAAACTCCAATGCATACCATATGGTCATTTTTATTAACTGCTTTAATATAAATACAAGGCTTTAACCAAGCCATCAATACAAATAATATATCTAAACGTGCATTACATCAGCTTTTGGTTTATCAGTACTAGGCAACAAAAAGATGTCGATTGCAAAGCCTGAGCAAATATTTCAGCAAGAATTAAAAAATGATTGGAGACCTGAAACAAAAATGTTTCATAAAATGGGGGGGAAGAACCTGTACGTCTTCAAAACCATCATACATCTTTCTCCTCAATTGATTACAGCAGATTTTTCAGCAAGCAAACAACTGTATAATCTAAATACAGAGCCCTTAGAATACTAAGGTACATACTTCTACTTCTGACAAACTGTGTGCGCTGTGCTACATTTCAAACATGCACTCTTGGTTCACAGATGTGCAAGCTGAAATAAAATAACATAAAGTAGGAATGCATGCCTTCCTCTTATCTATTTTTCCTTTTAAGTATCTGTCCATTGCAAAAACAAACGAATCTAAAAGAATTAAAAACCCTGAGATAAGACTTTCATTATATAATACAATACTGAGGCATATGCAGAGTACTGTAGTCTTCTCAGAATTCAGCAAAACCCAAGCACAAATGGTTAGTTAGCTTGTTGTTACCAACATTAACGTGCAACAGTCACTGACATTACTTTTTCTGCCCATAAATCAGTCTCTAGGTAAGTAAAGAAAAATTATCTTTTCTCATTTGCACCTGATCAGTTTTTCATGTTTTACTGTAGTTTTATAGCTATATAATTCAGATTGTTCTTGTTGACTTTGTTTCTCACTGGATGATTTAATTGCTCACTTAGTAAAACAAACATGTAATAAACCTGCTAGGTTGAGCAATCCTGATCAGTATTGCAATTCTACTGTAAATTAGTCTTCCTTTGAAAATACCGAGTTTTACCAACACGTGCCAACTACTCCAATTTGTTTTTTCATTGCTATATGTAAAAAGACTTCACAAGCAAAGATGAATTGTTTTCAAAACCTGTTAAACCTGCTTATCTGTTTAGTAATCTACCCAGTGCATTATGTGACTTTAGCTAAAATTGCACTTTACAGCACTATACATGCAAACAGTATTGAAGAATTCTGACAGACCTTTCTGAAAACCTATACAGACTATAAAATAAAATGTAAAAACCCTCTAAATTAAAGTAATATCTTGCCTAAGATTGGAATGTGATGTTTTTGAGGCCAAAACAAACTTTAACTAGGTGATTAACTTTAGAGGACTTTTTGCTGGCTTTAATTCAAACACAGCAGCAAGGGATTAATATTTAATTCGTGCCAACAGGTTACTGCTTAGACTTGTGCCCTACTGATCCTCAGCCAGTTCAATTATTGTAAAAGCACGACACTTTCACAAGATGGCCTATTTTTATTCATTGGTTTAACTATATTAAAACTTAGCTATCACAATTTCAAAGCAAAATAAATTAATTAAATTAAAGGATAAGGACAGAGAAGTGCTCCATGCTCAAGTAAAAGCAAATTAAAGTTTGCCTACACTTAAAATGAAGTCAATTTTATACAAGCTTTCCATGCCACACTCATTTCAGTTGGTAAAATATACAGGTACAGGAAGATGTGTGAATGTCATAATGCATAACAATGGAAAACAGCATGTTCTCCAATTGAGCTATAATAAAGATCAAGAAACAATCTTGCTACAATGTAAATTCAATCTTTCCTAACACAACCTTTTTAAAATGTGCGTGAACTTCCAATATCATATTAAGCTTTTGGTTTCTAAGAGTCTCCCATTCCATTTCTATTATCCAAGTTCACCTCTGGATCTGGATCTGCAGACTATGGTTTTACCTGTCTTTTCTTTTATAACTTCAAGGCAGTTGGGGGCCACATGCAACAATGGTCTTGGGCTGCAGGCTGAACATCATAGGGCGCCATGCCATGGGGGCCACATGCCATGCAGGCTCCCAGGACCCCGTAGCACTTAACCCCCCCTGCCATGCAAGTGGCATGAGCCTCCTTCCATGAGCCCCATGTGGGCAATGTAAGCCTCCTCGCTCCCACTAGGGCAGTGTGAGCCCCCTTTTGCAGCTGCCACAGGGCTGGCAATCCCCCAGCCCCACCACTGCCATGCAAGCCCACTGCCCATGCAAAGCCAATGCTCCCTGCCCCTGCTGCACAGGCAGCCTTAGTTTCTCCCCACCACCTGGGCCTCCACCCATGCTGCTCTGCCCCAAAGATTCCTGCTGCTGCAGAAGCAACCAGGGGCAATGGCAG